ATAATTGGTTCGTCAATTTCTTGTTTCATCGACATGAATTTCATTCTTTCTGCCACTACCAGCCTTTGCTTGGGTCTCATATTTCTTCTTATAATCTGACTTATTTTTTCGAAAGTCAGGTCTTCCAAATTTAAGGGATATGCCATGGTGGAGACTTTCATTACCGCCTCGCATCCAGCTGTAGCCAAAAATAAATTCGTGATTTCATTTTCGCCTGCATTTTCCTTGTTGTCTTTCAACTTTTTTGTTCTCGCAGTGGCAGAGAAACAACGAATCCATGTATCCACGAAATCTGGATCTTCCAGAGACAATTGATATCCTTTTTAGCCTCATTCTTGTATGACTTTTGACGGGGGATTTAATTGCATTGGGTATGGATTATTTTATAGTCAATGTGATTTCTTTGGTGCACTTTTTGCTGAAGTCTTTTTTGAGGCAGTTCAAAGGTGTCCAATAGAATGTCCAGCAGTAAAATGGAGTTTGATTTGGTCTCTTAAAGTTTAGATGGATAACATATATATAGAAACAAATTCTATGGTTCATCAGTGCTGTTAGTGGTTAATTACCATTAGGTGCAGCTCTGTAACTTGCAAGGAATACTTCTAATATTTCTTGTGCTGTTCCCTCCACTTCAAGTTTGAGGGGTGCTCTCTTAAAGCTATTTACAAAATGCTCCATTTGTCCATTTGATTGTGGATGAAAAGGAGGTGTCCTAATGTGTTGAATACCATTCTGTGCACAGAAAGATTAAAATGCAGCTGAAGTGAAGGTAGTGCTATTATTAGAAACTATTATCTGTGGGACTCCATATCGACTGAAAGTTTACTTTAACCTAACAATTGTTTCACCAAGGTGATGCAAATCATTTGAAAAATCGCTGGCCATTTACTGTAAACATCAATGAAGATAAAATAATACTGCCCCTTGATGGCTTCCACAAAATCAATGTGAAGATATGACCAAGGTGATTTAGGGATAGGCAAAGAACTCTGTGTAGTTTTCCTGGGAGGTTTTGCTGCCAGTTGACAATTGTAACATGTGTGCACCAATTCCTTCAACTACTTGTCCATGTTTGGCCAATAAACGTAGTTCCATGCAATATGGCTAATACCTTGATGATCATAATGGAATTGCTTGATCACTCTGTCATGCAATGAAGATGGGACAATTTAGCTTAATATTAAATAAAGTTTGTTTTTCTCCAAATAGTTAATTGAGTTGTTTCACTGCTTCAGTGAAGCTGAAAATTGTTGCCTGCTTTCATAAAATATAATTCGTATGACGGTCATGTTACTTAGCACCCAGTTTACAATTTTCCATTTTTCCTTTTTATGAGAAAAGTCATCGTGAAAGGTATCCAACAAATGTTTAAACCACAAAGTGAATGTTTTCCTACCCACTGCTTCATAGAGGAATAATTTTATGTCATTGACCAAGATATCTGCTGAAATGTTATTTTGGAACTATGCAGTCATTGCATAGTTGTGACTTCTGAAACTCTCCTTGCTTTTGGTGTTTGTTTTAAGTTTCCTTAAGCATCTCAGGTGAAATTGCCATGTTGATTTTGAAGTTCAAGTTCTCATCACCAAAACTTTATTATATCCCAGGTTGTTGGGATGAACAAAAACAAATAAAAATAAAAGACAAATGTATTTTAATACATAAATCAACAACTGTTGTTCATTCACTGACTGAGAACAGCAAGGATTGTATGAATAGAATAAAATGAATTCCACATGTATGTCAGCTGGTCACCGTGTTCAGTTCGGATGTGGCACCTTCGGCTTGACAGACAAAGGAAGTAACTCACTTGTATTTTGAGTTAGCCTTCTTTTTAAGGGAACAAATTTAGCTTTTCCTAAAAAAACAGACTATCAGTTCAGGATTTTTTCAACAGGTGCTTTAATCACACTTCCCATGTAGAAACTCAAATGACCTGAAGCTGCAAGAATGGAAAAGGGTTTTTGTCAATAAAAGACGATCTTTAATAATTCCTTTATTCTTCTTTTATTTTTGTTTTCTTTTATTATTCACTAAATTTTAATTTTCTTTCAGTGTTTGAAGCCAGATGCAAAAATTTCCATGAACCTATATTTGTTGATGTAAGTAAATCAGTCAAATTGACTTGGGTTGTCAAAGTTAGATAAAAAAAAGATGTACATTGTAAATAATGATTCTATTCATGAGGTATTTAAGTGTTAGTTAACCTAAAGTTCACAAATTTAATAAGCTGATCAGAATATTGAGTTTAAATTAATCTTATCAAGTAAAATTGAAAGTTGTAAATATTCTCAAATCTTAGCAAAGGATCTTCTACATACAAGAATTTAGCCAAGGTTTTATGTACGAACAAAATATTTGTTATGAGAATGTTAAGTGCCATAAATGATATCAAACAAAACTAAAGTTCAAATCTTTAAAGCCATTAATGATGTTAATGCAACTTAGTACAACCAGATTAAAACTGATTTGCAGAACGTAGATGTTTGTTTTGTTTTGAAATATTTATCTATTTATCAAGAAAGGATTTTGTTTTTGTCTTTTAGGGTTTCTTCATGAAGAATGAATTTATGTTAACCCTTCAACCATCCCAAAAAAATGCAGACATGTTTTGGAAGCTTATTTATGAGAAGCGGTACTCAATCATCGTCATGCTTGATGATACACCTAAAGTGAGTTGCTCAGAAATAAAGAGTTTAGCTTTTTACTATTTGTGCTATAATTTTATAAAATTTATTTTTTGAAAGTTTTTTTGATTAAAATTAAAATCTGTTTTAGTTTAGACTGATTAGAAAATAAAATAAAATTATAGAAAAGGAAATAATAAGAAAAATATTTAGCTTTATTCAAATTACCTTTCTCCACCCCACTCTCTCTTTCTCTCTCACTCACTCACATGTACATGTATGTGTGGCCTCTCCAGGTCAAACAGAAGGTGACAAAAGGGGCCCTAAACAAATGTCTTTCTAATCCAGAATGCAGATCAGCCTTTATCTGTAATGCACTCTGCAGGATTAATACCTTGACCATCTGTGAAACATGTCTTCCTGGTACATCTCAAATAGAGAAAGATGTACAATAATGGGGACTTGTAAAATCCAAAAAAGAAACATGGCTGATTATGTATACAAAGAAAAGAATAGTCATCAAATCATGAGGAATTAAGTAAAAATACTGGACAGGAAGGAACACTAGAATAACAGACATCTAAATGAATAAGTGCATATGTTAAATGAATAACTGAATATCCTAGACCATGAGTACAACATAGGAGCAGTTAATAAAGACAGAAAAATAAATGACAGCAATGCTTGAAAAGTAGCAGCACCTACAGTAAAAAGTGAAGCCTTGGTGAGTGTTGTCATGCATGGCAAGTAGCAGCAGCAGACATCAGCAGGCAGGTTAGGTTCAAGGCATCAAGTCCTCCACTCTGAATTGTCCCATGGAACAATAGCCTAATGGATTAAAGGATTGGTTCATGAATTTGGTAACATAGTAATTACATACTCCATTTTCTATTTTGGGTTGTGTATACTTGGACTCAGCAAGCAATAATTGAGCAGTATTAAATAAGAACTAGACAAGATATTCCTGAACACAGAGTGTAGATTGAGAACAATCTCCGAAGATTAAATGAAAGGTTCAGTTCAAAATTCTCTGATGATTACCAGGATTAACAAGCACCTGATGAAGACTGGAGAATATAATGGCTAAAATGTTATGATAACAACAACAAAGATGAGGACAATAGTCTGCATGTAAATGATAACACCTCATTGTAGAAATTCAAATAGAAATTAAATCAACTTTACTATAAAGACAAGTTGAAGGCCCCAGACTTGATGCAATCTGTGTTTAAAATCTGGGATGATATTAATCTTGAAGTAGGTCCATTGACTCCTAACTTTTGCAAGCCTCATTTTCAGAATTTCAATGCATTCAGCTCTGTAGCTCTCCATGCATTGTGTTTACATGAATACACCAAAATGCATTACAGTTCTGAAAGACAACAGATACAACTCCTGAAAGTACGTCTATATTTCTGAGATGAGGTATTATGTACATTATTTACATTATTCGAACTATTGACCTCATCTTTGTCGCTATATTTATCAGAACGTTTCGGCCGTTGTATGCTCCAGCCTTCTTCAGGTGGTTGGAATTTCGAACTGAACACTTTATTTCACTCCATAGGGTAGACTGTTCTAGTTCCACGTGCCATGTTTGATGGATGTCAGTTATCAGTTATCTCCTGCTAATTTCCCTTCTCTACTGCCTTAACCGGATATTGAACTCACACTCTTTGGGTCCTGTCACTGATCTAACCAACACCTTTATCCACTGTGCCAAAGTGGATAAATTAAACAAATTGATTTTTTACCAAAGCAGCTCATTTCTTTTGCTCACCAAGGTATATGCTGAAAATTTTACCAAAATAATTAATTAGTTAATACCAATTGCCTTTGGGAAAATATTGACTTATAGGTTACTGTAGTATATTGACCATAATAAAATTTGATGTATATACATACATAGACACATCATCAACAGACTCTAGGGATTTTAGTGGATATAATATATATGGTATTATTTAAACTTAAAGTATATGGTTTTTAATTCCTCCATAGAGAAAACGAACTATTCAAATCTCATTTCTTTCTTTTAAAATACATTGAGTCACATGTTACATATTACTCCCACATTTACTTATGAGTCTACTGAAATGTTCAATAAAATCTCTATATCTATTCAGACCCAATGCTAAACTTTCAATAACCCAACAATATACATGTTTAACTTTTATTTAATTTACAACAAATTTGAATTTGCTTTTCCTTTCATCTTCTCTTGGTATAAATCTTGAAGGTTTTAATTTTGCTTTTAGGTTGCTTCAGTATATTGGCCACAAAAGATAAAGTGTACCGAAGTGTATGGGTCCATAAAAGTAGAGCTGACAAATACAGCTGAAAGCAAAACATTTTTTCAAAGATATTTTCAAGTTTCTTCAACTAAACAGGTGATTATTTGAATTTTTTTTTATTCTTTAAAGTAAGCTTTCCAGAATTAATTTGCTTAACAAATTTAATAAAAATGTCAGAATAAATAATGAAATTAATGCTTTAAAAACTTACTTTAATTAAATACAAAGAAAATTGAAACCCATCAAATGATTTACAAGTAATAATTCTCTATGGAAGGGGTTGTGATTCCTTTATCTTTACCATCAACTTGGACTTCTTCAGCATTTCATATCATTCAAATTACAACACCATATTCTTTTCAGTCCACTGTATATGAGCTCAGATTGTCTTATGTCATGGGACTATTCTGTTGTTACAAGCTGAAATAAGGATAATTGCAAGAATAGAATCAAATCCACAGGCTTTATGGAGATCAGGTAAAGAGATGATAGATGGAGTTATATGCATATCATACTCAAAGCTGAGTTCTAAGTGAAAAGTCTAGTAAAGTTACACCTGTTGAATCGAGTCTAGAATTTTATCAGCAGAAGATGATAGCATTTCAAAATGACTGAAGAGAGGACTTTACCCCTTTTTGTACACACACTATTACAGAGCTGCTAGTAGTCACAAGAACCAAACTTGTGAGAGGCTCACTCTAAATACTGACAGCTTCATTGAGGACATGTTTGCACTTATTATGAGCAGACACAAAGAGGGCCTCTGTTGTGATCAGAGTTATCACCTTGATGATATAGCTGGAAAAAGTGATTCCTGTAGACTATAGCAGTTGAACAGGTAGGTGTGCACCAAGGTGAAGATGGCAATCTTATCTTGTATTTATGAGATGGTGCAAAGCCCTTGATGCTGGCTTTTCACCCAAGTGAAATGAATTCCAATTAGCACACAGGTAACAGAAAGAAGTCTTGTGAATAGGGGTTTGTGCCTAAATGCTATTAAAATCTAACCTTATTGAACCCTAACCCTTACCATATTAGAATATAAAGGGGTGCTGAAAAGTTATTAACCCAACTAACTTAAAAATATCTGACCATGTAACTAAACATCAGGGTTTTTTTTTACAGTAGTTTTTGGAACAAGCTAAAAACTTTTCAACACTCCCTTGTATAATCTGAAACAAAGTTATTCCATATAGGAGTACTTGGTCTTAAGGAAGCAACTTAGAATCAACTTTGATCTTGCTGAATGCTCTAAAAATATGTCATTATGTTAAAGTTTGCCTTAAACAACAAAAATCTATTTGTTTCAAAATCTATCATTTTCAAATATTTCTTCTTTCTTTTTCACCTAGAATGCACTTGAACCAGTTTATGTTGTTCAATTCCAGTCCAAAATTTGGCAAAGAAAGCAGCTTCCTTTTCCATCTGATCTCATTGAACTCATTCAAACTGTTACTAATTCTTGTGGACTAAGAAAACAACTTCTTATTCATTGCAAGTAAGAATAAGAATTTATTCCTTTTATAATGTGTGTACTGGTGTTTGTCACAGCTCTATCCTTTATTATTTGGGAATTCTCACCTTGTTATTTCCATTAATAAAAATAAAAACTATAGCCATGTAATTAATTACTATAATTATGCTTATCACTCACCTGCTGATAACAGTCTCAATAGACAATCTGTAGCTAAAGAGAAGGTTTTTATTTTTGCATTCAAGATGCAAACTGATTTTTCCTTTTGTCATATTATCTTTCTAAAATAAATCTATTTTTTTTAGTTAAATTGCATCCAGTAATTGCTGTTTTGATATTTTCTTGTTGATGAACATATTGGAAATTAGGCTTTATCTTTTGCATACAAACTTAGGAGAGCTGACAAATAATATGAAAATAAAATAACTGGTTCAAATGAATAAATTCCTTCAATTTAAACTACAGACATGAAGATTTGTGCAGTGCCAATTCTTTGGTAAATGTATAAAATAAATGCTGAAAATAATAATGGCTTCTGTTTTTTCAAGTGACAAAATTTTATATTCAATTTTAGGGATGGCATCACCAAAAGTAGTATTTTTTGTGTTCTATGTGTGATGATTTGCAAGATAAGAATGAATGAGACGGTCAGCATATTGAGACTTCTTCGTACCATGAAGAAAAAAAATCCACAAATTGTCACTGACTATGTAAGTATAAAAATGTTTTATCATCTGTTTTGTCTCTCACATCTTAAATATCAACAGGTGACAATGATGCATAAATCTAAAACTCAGCACTAATATATTACTGACTTTTAGAATTTTCTATATTTCTTGTGTTCTATAAAATGTGGGTGATAAAAAGGTTTTTTTTAAATTGTCATTCATGTAAGTGTCAATGAAAACTGAATAACATCATGAAAAGAAAAAGCCAGCTTGTTAGCAATATTTCCACCCTGTCAAGTTCTTTGCTTTTTCTTGTACTGACTTTATTGTAAGTAGTAATTAGCTATCATTATTAGCTTAATAATAATTAAACTAATTATTAGCTTAATTATTATTAATAATTAGCTATTATTGATTAGCTTAATAGTCTGTACAATGTCTGTGAATAGACTCAGATGAAAAGAAATAATAAAGAAATAAAACCAAATTATCTTCTCTCTATGAATATTAGAGATCTCTTGACTTAGTTAAAGAAAGAGAATGTCTCTGGTAATTTACGTAAGGTAATTAAGTCAAGGTAAATAATGCAAGGATATTAGGAACTAATCAATTCAAGATTCTTTGGATATTAAATCATTGGAAAATAGACATGCAATTTGATCATTTTTTTATGATGTACAAGTCGCAAGAGCCACTTAAGTTAGAGGGTTAGAGAGTAAGAGGTACAGAGAAGTGTTCTAACAAGACAGAAAGTGTGACACTGAGATTTGAAAAAGTATTGGGATGGCCAAAGATGCATTTCAAAAGCTAAGCAAAGTATTATAAGACTGGAAAATTTCATTGGAAACAAAGTAAAAGAGTATTGAACTGTTATGTGATATCTGTCCTCCTGTATGGCAGCAATTGCTGGATAATCTCCTCAAAGATGAAGAAGAGACTTGAAGCAACAGAAATGTTGTTCTACAGAAGGATGCTAAAGATACCAAGGGCTGAACGTGTGAGCAATAATGAGGTTTTAGAGAGAAGGTAAACAGAAAGAAAACTTATAATTAACATCAAGAAGAAGAAGTTGAAATTTCTGGGACATGTAATGAGGAAGGAGGGAAATCTGATACTCACAGGACAGATAGAGGGAAAGTGGGTCAAGAGAAATCAATGTGCAATATGCTTAATGGGCTTGAGCAAGTGAATGGGAGAACAAGGTTTGGGAGAAATAACAAAAAGACAAAACTTATTAAGAGCTCCAAAGGACAGGAGGAGGTGGAGGGCCATGAATGCCTACATCCTGAAGAAAAAGAATCCTATGCTCTCTGTTGAAATGATGCATATCAGAAATAAACACAAAAATGTTTGCGAAAGAATTTCTGCAAATCTTCAATTTAGCAACAAACAAACATTATAAAACAGAAAAACACCCAATGAACTGTGATATCCAGTGAAATTTTTAAATTACCACAATCTATTTCTTTTAAAGATTGTCCATCTACTTAAAAATAAAATGAGTATTATTAAATATTTCCTCTTCTGTGGGACAATCTTGTCTTGCTATAAAATGACATTTTAATATCTTTAGGGATCCTAGTTTCAAGGTCTGGTAAGTTATCAAATGTTTGGCATCCCATTTTATACAGCAAATGTCCACATTTATGGCCTGGATCAAAATTGTATTTTTTGACTTCAAAATTGAAGAAATAGTTTTACTTTTTTCAATATTAAATTTTTAAATAACATTTTGAATTGTTATAAAATATGCACCTTCAGAACTTTATCTTAATTTTCCAAATAAATATTCAAAATAGTCTGTGATAAATTCATCAAGCATAACAAAATTAAACCCACTGCTTAGCAAATATCTAGAAACTTTTTCAATTTACTGTTATCCATTTTTCTTATCAAAAATGGGATTCACAATTAATTCATATTTATAATTGAGATTGTGTGTTTATATATGTTAGGATTTTAGGTATACATGCTTAAGTATCTATTGTTAAAGTATGCTGAAATGTCAGTGTTTTTGTTTAGGGTCGACATATACATATATGTATAGAGTATGTTGTGTGCATCAACCACTCCAATTTTTTTATTATAATCTTTTTAATTTATTTCAGGAGTCATACAAATTCTGCTGGTCAGTTGCTGAAATACTGCAAGATGAAAATTCCACTTATTATTCCTACTGTCATTCCCAGGAAATATCCGAAATAGTCTAAATTTTTCAGATGGTTTACACAAAACTGATAAGAATCTAAATAAATTTTTAGAGTATAGACAACTTTTTAGCTTATAATATGTGGATGTTAGAAAAGTGAACTCAACAAAATATCATTTTTAAGGACTCAAGTGAAATTCTGACAAAATAAGACAAAGTTCTTTGTAATGCTTAGGAGATAGCTCATATCAATTCTTTCTAGTCTATTCCCCTTTATATTCAATTGATACATGGCCTACTGATTTAAAATGTTGGTTGAAATGTGTCTGGTTTCTTGGCTGTCATGAGTTCAGTCCTTGAGTCAGTGTAAAGAAAGCATAGTAGAAGAAATGGATAAGTAATGTAAAGCTTTGTATACAAAGGCAGATGCTTTGAATAAAATTGAAAACAGTCATTGTAATGACAACAAAGTTAAAAAGCAGGAATGTATATTCAGTGTTCTAAAATTAGCTTTAAAAGTTGTTCATTCATTGATTTTGTGGACACTTGTATTTCTTCAAATGAAATAAATTATGAAACAAACTCCAGAATACCATTCCAAAAATTCATATTTGCTGGTAAATTTCCATTTAATGATGTGAGACTTCCTTTTTAGAATGCTCATGGCTTTGCAATTGGGTTAGGGTCAAGTAAGCAAGATGGCCAATTTCATTAAACTAATGTCTTTGAAACTCATTTTATTTAGATATTCATTATTTTTTTTCCACTGAATAGGGTGGAGTGCAGTCATGCATAATCATATTATTTCTGCAAATATTTGGCTTCTTTTTGAAGTAAGGCTATATGTGTGCCTACAAAAAATTAGTCTAAACACCATCTGGAATTTGCCATAAGCCCACACTTCATCATCTATCATCCTACCCTGAAACATTATACCACACCTGACATGTGAGGGCAATTTCCACTAGTAGCCATCTATCTTTTGCTCTACCTGTCTAGTTTATCAAGTATAGAACAGCATTTATTGAGGGAGAAGAACAAAAATATACATGCAAGCTTTATATACATATATATATATATATATATAACTGAAACATATTAATCTTAAAAAACCCTTTGTAAATGTATCATCACAGAAACTGTATAGCAAGAAATCGATTAAAAAAATATCTTTGAAATCAGCATTTATCAGTGAAAATATTGCTCTTCACTTATTCCATTGTCCATTTTATTTGATCTTTCTTTATGATTGTCTTTTAAAGGAGGCATGGTGATTTACTTCCATGTTTTCCCACTTGATTTATAACACTATATCTCGTACATCTTTTTACACTTCATTATTGTCATCTGTAATCTCATCCTAAAACATCATACTATTCCTGACTAGTGAGCATCGTTCCCACCAGTAGCCACACAACACATCTGCTCTAGTCTATTGAGGGTAGCATGACATTTGTAGAGAAAAACAACAAATAATTCTACTTTATATTTTCTGTTGCCAATTTTTTTTAAAGGAGACATAGTTATTTACCTCGCATATTTTGCTACTTAATTTATGACCCTATATTTCCCTGAAATAAAAAATACATTTACAAATACAAGTACTTTTTACATCTATTCATATAATGTGGACATTCATTCCAAACTTCCAAACAGATATGATGAAGCCTTTATGGGATATTGTGAGTCAGATGTATGCTTTTGTGTGGGAGTGTGAACAAAAAGAGCCTTCAACTCCATAAAAAAAGCCTTGTGTTTAGCACCAGTTCAATCATTGTATATAGCCCTTCAAGAGAGAACAGTAATTTCTTTATATGCTTCAACTTTTGGCCTTGGAGCAGTATGAATGCAGATACCACAATGGTATGAGCTTATCTCTTGTAGAACAGGAGTTAATGAGATAAATGAGCATTTGTAAAATCCATTCTAGTCACCAAGATGCCAACAACAAGTATACCAATCAATCTGGTGACCAGGATTATCTAACCAAATAGAGGATGTGGTGAAAGACTCTGAGATGTATGCCAGGCCATGATATCAGATGGCCAAACCACTAATGATAACCAAACTCCCACCAAGATCATGGCATACCCTAGCTTCAGATTTATTCAAGCTAAATGGCAGGATATATATTGTAGTTTTTGACTATTTTTGGGAAAGTCACAGTGATTGGAAATGACCGCACACCACAATACTACATTGTAAAAATGAATGATGGTAAATCATCAGCATATTATTTCAAGACCATCTTCTAAAAGTGAGATGGAGGAAATGGAGAGTTTGGAAAGTGCCCAACCTCCAGTAAATGAAGTTGAGAAACAACACAGTTGTGAAAACCATCCATTTAGCTGGATGTTTAAAAAAAATAAAAATAATTCAATTACTAAAGGGTTACCTTAAGGAAACATCCAAGGACACTTGCAGGTATTCTTACCCCAAATCTTTTAGTTAGAAAATTTTAACCCCAGAATTTATGAACATAAATATCTTAAAAGTGGAAATGTGTTATTCTAGTTACTTAATTAAATATGTAGAGTTTATGCGTTTTAGAAGGAAACAGTCTAGTTTGGTAATAAAGCCTCATTTTGGAAATAAAGGGGGCCTCAAAATATTGCCATCTTCATATTCATGATGTATGTATGCTTTGGTCTGTAACCACTAACAAAAAACAAATGAACCTTGTTTCATCTTTTCAAGTTAACCAACTCCTGAGTAAAATGTATTTATAAACACTACCCTCTAGATATGCAAGATGTTTCAACCATCACTACTATCTGACTTTCTCTGAGTTAAAAATCAAACTCAACATGGAGTACTGAATGGAGAATATGACTTGCAGGGTAATGGCTATAAACAGGAGAGACATATTTTCAGTTATATACATGCACAAGAGTGTGTAGAAATATACTTAGTCAAACCCACTTCCAAAAATCTAGCTGTTATATTAAGCATATGGTGGCAGATCAAAGAAGAAACAACAGATGTTTAAAGAGATAAACAATTGTATTAATGTAAAATACAAAAAAAAATGATAAATTGGTTCAAGAAGGAGATAAGTGAAGTTGTAAAAGGTGTCTGCAGGGGTGTACAGTAGGAGAGAGAAAGAGGGTGAGTTATGACTCACTGTGGCAATGGCCTTTGGTGAGTTGTCTTTTGAAGATGAAAGACTGCCTTCTGATGAGTGTGGTGAATTTTGGTGAAAATGCTGTTTGACTGCCAAAAATGTTACTTTGATGGGTTTTTATGTACTTTTTTAGGCTCAAATCGGGTCCAGATTTTATTTTGTTTCTTTAGGCAGGAATGGGTGCAGTTGGGTAGAAATTCTGAATTGTATTGCTTTTTTTTTTTTTGAGTGTTAGTAAAACAGAAATTTTGGGCAGAGCCTATGTGCTGTTGATGGAATTTTAGTTCAGTCTTGGTTTTCAGAGCATTCACATCCAGCCAGTAGTGGAAATTTGTGTAGCATGAATCAGAAGAAGATCTTGTTTTAGGAAGAATGTAACATAGCCAAATGGTCAGACATGAAAATTATTTTTAAAATCTCCTTCTTGATTGAGTCAAAATCTTTTGAGCTCCCTGCCTCTCTTGCATATATACATATATATGAAGAAATATAGTCTTAAGGTCTGCTATATTTATGGGATAAAGTGCTCGATATCAGAGATAGAGCGTGTGTAAATATAAAAGTGAACATAGAAGTCAACACTTAGAGGCAACAGTCTGTTTCATGCTATATACAATCGTCAGGCCTGACGATTGCATATAGCATGAAACAGACTGTCGCCTCTAAGTGTTGACTTATGACTTCACTATGTTCATATTTATATATATATATATATATATATATATATATATATATTGAACATTGTATTCAAGCATGAAACAGATTGTTGCCACTTGGTGTTGACCTCAATGTACACTTTTATCAACATTTTTGATGAGATTTTAAAAGCTCTTGGTATATTTGACCCACTAACAGTTTTTGGTGGACTCATGTAAGACCAAAGGAAAAATAAGACATAGAATTTGACAAAGGAAATATTAACAAATATATTGACAAGACATTTTACAAAATGAGAAATTAAATAAAATGTAAAGAGTTCAAAGCAACTTTCAATGTCTGTAGTTGAGTACTCACATTTTGCGACAGCGAAAAGACTACATATTTTTGCTATGATTTTTCTTTTATTTTTGCTAATCTGGACTTTTCAAAAAAATAAAAATAATCCAATTAACTAAAGGGTTCCCTTAAAAAAAAAAACTTGCAGCATTCTTATCCTCAATTTTTTTGTTAGAAAAAAAGTGGAGTTATGTTATTCTAGTGATTTAATTAAAACGTCATTTTGGAAATAAAGAGGGCTTCAAGATATTGTCATCTTCTTATCCATGACATCCACACCTATGTTTGCTTCAGTCTGTAACTATTAACAAAGAAACAAATCAACCTTATTTCATCTTTTCAAGTTAACCAACTCCTGAGTGAAATGTATTGATAAACACTACCCTCTAGATGTGCAAGATGTTTCAACCAACAATACTTAGAGACTTTCTCAGAATTAAAAAAACTAACTAACTATGAGGTGGGGAATATGGCTGGCAGGGTAATGGTAATGAACAGAAAAGTTGTATTTTCAGTTATATGCATATATATGTATATATATATATATATATATATATATATATATATATATATATATAGTCTGAACATTGCATTTAAGCATGAAACACTTTGTGCCACTTGGTGTTGACCTCAATGAACACTTTTTTATATTTATAATAGAAACTCTTGGATTAAAAAATAAATCCATTAATTCTTCATATATATATGTGTGTGTGTGTGTGTGTGTGTGTGTGTGTTTCTGTATGCATAGGTTTCAAAATGGGGAATTTTGTACTGAAAACCTCTTATTAAGTGTTTATCCTCTTTTGAATGTGAATACAGGCCTGTAAATCACTTATGCGTATGACTTTATAGCAGTGGTTCCCATCTGATTTTGGGCCATGCCCCTCACTTTGATATTTCTAAAATTCTGGTGCCCCACTGTAATATTTAATTCATAC